AAAAATTTGAATTCGTGCCATCGCACAGATACCTCTTTTATTCTCCTGTTATCCTGATACAATTTTCAAAAAATTTGAATTCGTGCCATCGCACAAGATTTCCATACATACCCCTTCCAATTTTTTTTTCAAATGTCGAATTGAATTTCTCCCACATATCCCCCAGGGAATAATGAAAAACTCAATAAAAAAGGTGAAATCATACGATAAAACGTTTTAATATTTATTTACTTGAATTCCTCACATTGAAAAACATAAGAAACATTACGAAAGCTATCAACTAACAGAATTACAAAGAAAATATGAAAAATAAAGAATAGTCGACGTTTAAAACGAGGCGTTCTTCCAATAAAAAATTGCACATTCGTTTATTGTTTAATTTAGTAAATAATTAAAAAATCATAAAATGCAAAATATCAATGAGTCTCTCGTGTTTATATACAAAATAAAATGGTCTCCAAGGTACCGAAGACATCTCTAAAATGGACGAATTAAATCGCATTATCCATTTACATTATTTTTCATAATCTATCATAATATTATTATAATATACAGTATATTTATTTATCATTCTCTATCCGTCGCAAGTGCATTACAATAATCATCCCTTAGGTACTAAAAAATCTGTCGTAAATATCTTGTATTTAAATAAAGAATTATTATTAATAGAAATACATAAAAACAAAGTACACATATTTCCATAAAATGAAATAGGGGGAGGATTGGGAGGGGGAGGGGGGGGATGGTGAATTAAACGATACTTATACGTGTGATGTGACGTTATGATGTCTTCGTACATGATTATCACAATGTTTTGTCGCGAATAGACGCACCGAACTGCCTAAGTTATTTATTTAAGAATTTTTCTCATTATCGATAAAATTTATATTTTCCCATCTCACTCTCTCGCACTGTGCATTATTTTACGATTCATTTTTCATCGCAGGCAGTATCACAATTTGTAGATACGGTACATTAGCTCTTATCCTCTTATCCGATATTTTTAAACAGTAAAAATTTCTGGAATTTTACATTTCACTCAATGCCACTTCACATTTTTCCATAACCGTGCAATTATCTCGATAACGAGAGATCCGAGGAAAAAATGGCATGAGAGCTTTTTTGCGGGCCGTGAAATTTCCGACAAAAAATCTTTTTGACATTTTCCCCTGAGACCAACGGGTCGGGAGATGACACGGTATAAAGACCAGTGGAAAATCTCTTCGTTCCGTCGATTTTCCATTGTCGATGAAAAATGTTTAATAACTTTCTCCATAAAAATAATAATCGGCTAATGACAACTTTTGCTCCTTGGGATCTAAAATACGAGGAAGAATTATTAATAAGTACGCTTTATGTACATATGTACAAGAGATAACAACTTGTCATTATCATTAATTATAATCATCGAGTTATTGAATTTATTGTCGCGTTTCCCCAATCGTCGAATTTAATTCCTCGTATTGTGGGAAATAAATGAAATTTACGTTCCCCTCAATGCCAGTGTGGCCCTCTCACTCGTAATTCTCAAAAAAAAAAAAAAAAAACAGACGCACTTGAGGACAAAAAAGCAAAACCCCATAAAAAACCGAAATAAAAGAAACGGGATTTGTCCGTGAGTCATACATGACTCGCCACAATGACACGAGTCCTCTCATTAAAGTAGAAATTGCGTTCCCTCATTTATTGTACTCTCTCTCTCTCTCCCATTCGTCCATAATTTCTACCTCTCACACTTTTCTACAATATAAAATTTTTTTATGTATATATCTCTTTTAATTATAACATTTTGTATCTTATAATTTCACATGGCTATTTAAAGTCATGAACCCTCACGTTTCAGTCACTCGACTTTAACTCTTTATCACCCATTTTAACTCGGAGAAACATTCAAACTCGCGAGAGAATGTTTTCAGTGGATGGAATCGAGTTGTTATATTTCAAAAAAGTTATAAATTGCGGGTTTCATCGTGGAGCCAGGGAAATTTACGTTTTTTTAATCGCGAGATGATTTTAAGTCTCCGACCTCGACAGAAATCGAGATAAAATAGACACAAAAGTGTCTCCAAAGGATTTAAAAAAAAAACAAGTTAAATAGGAAATGTTTTTTTAACTTGATTTTTTTCAGAGGTTTAGGTCGGAATTTTTTCAGCTCCGCATTTTTCAACTTTAAAGTTTTTAACATTTTTGTTAAAAATTTAAAATTCATGTTATTAAGTTCAAAGAACGGAATTATCTCGATATCTGTGGAGGTGATGATAGATAAATTATAGATTACCGTATCGAATTATGTGGAGTTGATAAAAAAATTTTCCTGAATTTTCTCAAATTCAAATTTCTCCGCCCTCAACTCCTAGTAATCACCTCCCTAATCTCAAACCCTGACGCTCCGAACGAGAAATTCCCTGACTCCTCACTCTCCCGGAATACCCAAAAGGTTTGCCCTGTGACCTGACTCGAGAAAATACCGGGAACGTCCCTATACATGAACAGTGAGTACTTGCCTAGTGCCAACAGCAGCACTAGTTCCTGGTTGCTGTGGGAATCCGGGTTCCTGGAGTCTAGGTTTGCTGTAAGGTTTATGCAAACTCTCCTCGTAACTAAAGCTCGCTGTATTATTTCTGGCCTCGGCACTCGTTGGTTTATACAGAGGAGGTAACCTATGTCTGCCCTCCTCACTAACCATTTCAAGACTTTCCTCAGGATTGCCAATGCCCCCGAGACTCATTCCACTGAGGGGCCTGACAACACTGACCCTGGGTTCAGCGTCCTGATCCTTGAGAGGATTAGCATACCTCCTGAGATTCTCCTCGTTCTGCAGATTATTAGATTTCTCATCGAGATCACTCCGATGCCTGTGCAAAGAGGTCTCACTAGTAGTTGCGGCATTCATGCCTGACCTCCGCCTGCTCCTGATGTACCACAGTCCTCCGAGAACCCCGAGTATCAGAACAGCAGTGACCACGCCCCCCAGCGCAGCAATATACCCTCCACTGCCTTCACCCTCTCCCCTAACTCCGCCTCCAGTAAGCCTTGTCGTCTCGACCTTGACCTCGAGAACAGAAGCCAGAGCCAGAGGTCTGCTGAGAGGTCGACTGAGGCTCTCCCCCAGATCCTTGGCAGCGTCACCCGCAGCTTCCGAGAATATCGTCACCTCGATGGTGTCATTATCCCCGCTCTTAAGATCACAAAGAAGAACAACAGACTGGGGCCGCCTGGGATCAGCCAACAGTCGCCTGAAACTTCTACAGAGAAATTCAACAGAAGTTCCAGGGAGTAGTGTATCTCTCCTGAGTAAAATAGTGAGACGTGCGCAGGTTGGGCCAGTGTCTGCCTGCCCAGGCCAACAGCTGGGTGGTGCAGGGAGTGCTGGAGGTCCCACCCTCCTGCCGCTCTCAATGGGCCTGCACTCACCCCACGCTGCACAGGGCGGAGACAAACAGGATTCGCCAGGCGATGGAACACACACCTCGTGGGCCAGACAGGACGTGCCATTCAGGCAATTACCCTGTCCGCACCACACATTGCTGCACTGATTCTTATTGTTCCGGCACTCGCAGACATTGCAGTCATCGTCCCAGGGTGGTGACGGACACCCCGAGCTACCGGGTGTACCAATTTCACAGTGAGTCCCAGTCCGGCCCGTCGGACAGATGCACGAGTACGAGGCAATCCCATCGACGCAGGTGGCGCCAAATAAACAGGGATCACTGGCACACTCATTGACATTGATCCTGCAGTCGGGACCAGTGAATCCTGGTGCGCACTCGCACCTGAACCAATTGACACCGTCAACGCACCGACCCCCATTCAGACACGGCAGGGGCTTGCAGTCGTCAACGTCACGCCTGCAATTGGGCCCCTCAAAGCCCTCCCTGCATATGCAACGATAGCTACCGTCAGCCGTATTGACACATGTCGCGCCGTTCTCACACGGTGACGATGCACACGCAGGTGACGCTATGTGACAAGCAGCGCCCTCCCAACCCGCAGGACAGTGACACGTGAATCCATTACCGCGATCCTCGCATGTGCCACCGTGACGACACGTCAGCGGCTCGCAGTGACCACCACGAAGGGTGCACGTTTTGCCTTTCCATCCGCCACGACAGGTGCACGTAAAATCAGCGATAGCGTCGACGCAGGTACCATTGTTACGACACGGTGCATCGAGACACTCGTCGACATCCTCGTCGCACAGATCACCAGCCCAACCCTCTCTGCATATGCACTGAAAGCTGTTGACGAGGTCGACGCAGGTACCGCCATTCAGGCACGGACTCCCCCGGCAATCGTTGATGTTCTCGTGGCAGTGCTGACCCGTGTAACCGGGATCGCAGATGCATATACCACCGGAGCACGTGCCACGACCACCGCACGGTGCACCCTCGCTGCCGCAACCGAGGTTCCCGTCGTCCATACGGAATTGGGGATTGTGGAGGGCCGGCTCCGAGCAATTTTTACCCTGCCACTGCTCCGGGCAGTGACAGTAGTAATCTGTCTGGGTATTGAAGCACGGCGCTGAGTTGCGACAGGGATTTGGACTGCAGTGATCACGATCAATCTCGCATTGGTAGCCGGTATAGCCGACGGGGCAGACGCACTCGTAAGCGTTCACCAGATCACGACAGTCGCCACCATTTTGACATGGCTTTGAGGCGCACTCGTCAATGTCCACGTCGCAGTCTTTACCGGAGTAGCCGGGGGTGCACGAGCAGTGATAATCATTCACCAGGTCGATGCACAGGGCACCGTGCTGACACTGGCCCACGCAGTCGTTTATGTTCTTCGTGCAGTTCTTGCCGGTGAAGCCACTTCGACATCGGCAGCTGAAAATCAAAGATCAGGGGGTTAGAGTGAAATTTTAATAAAGGGGGTAGTGGATTCCTTCCGCGATCTATTAATATCGATAGAACAGTAATTTCGAGTGCCTATTGGGGCCTCAGGGGGACTTATGTAAAACCGATGAACAAATCGATATGAGAATAATAAAAAAGTTGTTGTGCAAGCGATAACTCAAGTCATTCCCACGGACGCCGGGTTCTCGTCTCGAATGATTTGCGAACGTCTTCATAAATCTCGGGATAAAAAAAAAGGAAGAATCCACCTGCCCAAGGCTGAAACTTAGTGATAATCGAGTGATTCAGCACTGGCATTAATTACCCATAGTCTCCAGCGAGATTGACGCAGGTTATTGAGTTCTTGCACGGTGACTCCACAAGCGCACATTCATCTACATCGAATTGGCACAGGGTGCCCTGCCACGCTGAAGGACAGTTGCAGGTGAATTCATTTTTTCCATCGACGCAAGTGCCGCCATTTTGACATGGCTGAGACGCACACTCGTCGACGTCAGTTGCACAAAATGGCCCCGAGAAACCCGGGGCGCACTGACACTCGGCGCTCTCACCGATTTCCCGACAGGTTGCGCCATTCAGGCACGGACTCGAGGCGCACGGATTGTCAACCTTCTCGCAGGTTGGCCCTGAAAAACCGTCAGGGCAGGTGCACCTGTACTGATCAGGCGCTGTATTCTCGCAGGTGCCGCCATTTTGACATGGCTCGTGTGTGCCACAGTAGTTGAGATCCTGATCGCACAGTATTCCACCCCAATTTGTATCGCAGATGCACTGCCAACTCGAGCCGTTGCAGTAGCCATGTTTGCAGCCTGGATAGGGTGTGCACTGATCGCATAATTCACCGCGCCATCCATGACGGCACTTGCACTCCCCGGAGACGTTGCAGTGGCCGTGAATGGGGTGGCAACCCTCCTTGCAGACAGCTGGAACAGAAGGGGAGAATTTTCATAAGACGAATTCTCTCCGAATTTTAAGGGTTGAATCTCGCATTTTTATTTTATCAAAATAAAAGTGATAAATCAATGGAATTTGTCGATGACTCAAGCAGTAAATTTCATTGATTTCCTAATATAATTAATGAAAGAAAAGAAAAAAATTTTTTTTAATAAAAAAAATCATTAAAAATTAAAATTACAATAAAAAAAAATAATATTGGCAATGTCAATAAATTCATCATGAAAAAAAAACCCTTTCCCCGCGTTAATCCCCAAATTTTCACCTTCCGTAAAATTACCGCTGAACCGCACAAACCCAAGTAATTACAAATTCACTCACTTGGTAATAAATTTTGCAGTTGTTTAGAATGTGGGATAGCGCCAAACAATGCCGCGTATAATTACTCGCGCAATCACAAACGTGTAATTATCCAAAAGACATAATTACTATTTATCTACAATTACCATAATACAATGATCATCAGAGCTACAGAAAAAAATTCAATATCCGTGACTAGAAAATATCAAAAAATATTATTCGATCAGTAGAAATTGCCAACCAATCGGAAAATATCGGAGCTTTCACGGCAAATAAATTCCAATATAATCTCCTATCCACTGGCAATAAAAATGAAAAACATCACATCACTCAGATATTTCGCAAAGACCGAGATATCGGGAATAGAAAATGCCTCTCGGTGGCCGTGAAACGTTTGCAAAAAGACGTAAATATCATTAGACTCGTAAAAATAAAATACCATTCAGCCACAAAATATGATAAAACCAATTGCAAATGGCTAAACATTTAACCGTTACAACAGTTGTATGTGTTTGCCTGCAGCATCGTTTGATTAATGACTCTACCCTCCCCTAACCTCCCCCCATCCCCCCCATCCCCCCCACCCTATCATATTTACCGTGGACAACAGACATTTACGGATATTTATACGAACGACTGCAGCTTCAAATGACGCCGGATACTCATGCCATCATTTTCTATTTTTATTTATTAATGTTTTTTTCATTTTTTAAATAATTCTGAATCGAGCCAATCAGTGCAACACGATTTATCATCATGCATGTTGACATTCGGAGTACAAACCCACGAAATCAGCATGACAAATCATCAAAGTGATGGATTTCAGGACGAGATTTGAAATTATTTTTCAGATATTCAACACTGGAGGTGATTAGGAATGGGAAAATCGTTTTATCAATGTCCAATGAATTTTGGTATTTGTAAAAAATTGAGGTTCAGGGATTGAGCCCTGAATTTTTCTGGATTTTTAATAATTTCAGATCAATCTCACGAAAAATAATTTCAAATCAATTTAAATCAATCAATTTAATGATTTTTTCAATTTTCAAAATAATAAAAAATAATAAATATCATAATGATAATAATAATTATTATTATTACAATAATTATTATATATTATATATGAAAAATGATTGAAAATAATCAATTAGTTATTATTGTTATGACTATTATTAATTACTGATTATTAAAAAATGGATAAACATATGAAAATAATTTGAAAATGAAAATGATGAGCAGTGATTGTGAAGAATGAATTGTAATGGTGTGAAATATTTTTATCTCCTATTCATGACTCCTCTAAATCGAAAATCTCAAGTACAGATTGAGAAAAGTTACGATTCTCTCTGGTTATGACGGCGGTGAAACGGCAGAAAACATTTAGCACGAGGTACACTTCGGGCTGGAATAAGAAATGCTAGTTGCAAACACCGGGAAATATAAAGTCAAGTCTTACACAGTGAATTTCACCGTCGACCTTTACTACGATGACAAAGTGAAAGATTTAAAGAAAAATTAAAAAAAAAAAAGACATGATTTTAAAGGCCGTTTTCTCGGCATGCGAGTTTATCTCGATGCTGCACTCTCTTCTCGCGTGAGGATCTCTATTCCTCGTGTGGTATTAACTCGGAATAATTTCACGTTTCAAAGGACATGCTGGGAAATTTAATCGGCACTTTCAGAACTTATTTCAATTGTTAATTGGAAAATTGACAGCCCTTTTTTTATACATTCGTAGAATTGAATTACAAAAATTCGAGTGGAGGGAGATTTTTTTTTTTACTGTCTGCGAATTGTTTTGGCGATATTTTTTTTTAAATGATAATTCTCTCGGAAAAAGTTATTATTTTTCTCGGGAGTTACTTCGAATTTCTGGTGAGATTTATGGATATTTTTATGGAGAAATTACCGGAGAGTTATGGAAATATTTTATGAAAATGGGGAAAAGTTGACTAGAAATTTTGTTATTTTTTCGAATAAAACAAGATGAACCAATCATTATTTCTGTCTAAAAAAAATAACAGCACCTCTAATATTAATTTTTCCCGAACGAACTAAAATATTTTTGAATAAATAAATCTGGAACGAATTCGAAATCTTAATAATAAAGGGAGAATTGATGGAAAAAAAAACGAATGTCGTAGTAGTGATGGTTGAAAATACATACGCCGGTCGTAAAATACATGAATTATCTGGCTCAATAGGGACATAAGATGGTACATGTCGTACGATCTTCAACGAGAGGTATGGCCAAAGCTGGTTGGTTACAATAAAGTCTCGCGGGAGTTTTAATAATACAAAATGACCGAGGGATCTCTTTCTTCGACTCTGAGACTAATCGTTACTTCCGTCTAGTTAACAACCCCGAGGAGATGCTCTGTAATTTCATCAATCGAGCCTTTCATCGGTTCAACTAAATCGTGATCAATCCCCATTATTTATTTCCTATTTTTTATTCTAATCCGAATATTATTTACCGCGAAAAACAAATTCTCCGGAGATTTTCGCTGCTCCGATCATTTCCCTGCGAATTTCTTGGAATTGAACAGGGATAGCGCAATTTTTGTAATGACCTTTTTTGGAGCTCTCCATTTTTTGGACGGAAAAGGTCCTCATGAAAATTTCGGTACCTCGCTGTTTTCTCGGGTTAAATGGGGATTTCATTATTTCGGGGAAAATTATTTCAAATGAAAATTTGTAGTAATTACAAATTTACATGAAATTTCTCTCAATTCCGTAACGAAAATTATAGAAAATAGTAAAAACTCCGGGAATTATTTCCCTGAATTCGTAACTCATTTAAAATTCAATTTAACGTGTAATTACCATAATGAGACGTAAAAATTTCCATGAAATCTAAAATGATATTGCATTCCCGAAAAAACAAGAATTTATTTTAAAAATTGTTATCTTAACTGATTGAAATTTTTCCTGGGAGCTGAAAATCCTGTGAAATTATTTATCAAGTTGAATTATTATTTTTATCCGGCAATTATCTATCCCGATTATTTAATCCCATAATTATTTGAGTGGATGGGAAAATGATTGATCATTGAATTAAGGCCCTGACCTATTCCCCAGTTGGCACCTGCCAATGTCAATCAATATTATCTCTAATCAATAATATAACCACGGCCATGATGTCACCTTTGTTATCCTCACCAGGTATCTGATGACAGAGAATGTCCTGGTGTCCTTCACCTGGGTGAACGCTATAATACGTTAAATGAGCGCAATCAAGTGACGTCTCAACCACTTATATTTATACATTGCACAACAGTAGTCGACCAAAGGCACTCGCCGGCGTGAGAAAAAATTCAAATCCCCCCGATTGACCTTTTTGCGCTGCATTTGCTATTACGTGAGTTTAAATAATCAATTTTTTTAAAGATCAAAACGTCCACCGAAAATATTTAAAAGAATTTTTAAAAATGGATTTTTGGATTTGAATGGATGAGTCAAGTGCTCATTGTTGTCGGGGGAATTCCCTGAAAATCCCTGATAACGCGGAAAACCGTCGAAAAATGATACGAAAATAAAAAAAATATAACGCATCAGGATAAAACGACCGGATAAAAAATATAATGGGAGTAAGGATAAATAAATAAATATAAACTCACCAGTTTCGCAGTCAGCGCCCTTCCACCCCTGAATGCAGACTTTATCACCGTTTTCATCACAGGTATAATGTCCAAAAATATCATCCCTGGGTCTGCAGAATTTTGTGCACGTTGCATTGTAGTAATGATCAGCGCACTGAACCCTGACCCGATAAGCGAGATGTGCATTTCTTCCCTGATGATTGAGGGTGTGCCACGTGGGTCCAGGAAGAACAATTCCACTGTAACTCGCCTCCTCGACGACTCCCCGACTCGTTTCGTCTCTCGCCTGAAGTATCAGTGTGAATTGCCTCTGAAAAAGGAAAAAAACAATTTGCCACAGTTGTTTTTATGACTTTTATTTTTATATCACTCTTAAACTCGTCCCCGTGGAATACATCCAATCGTTCTTTTATTTAGCAGACAAGACGACCTGGGGAGCTCCAACTACCAAAAATGGCACGTCTGCCATTCTAGGCTGGTGCTTTCTCGTTTTTTTTTTCTTTTTTTCCGCCTCCTGGCTCGACCGACAATTTAATTATGAGTCGAGTGACGCGGAATCGAGGGGAATACGGAATTTCAGGGGTTCAGGCCTCCAGTGGAAAATTTTTTTGGAAAATGAGTCATTGATTTCGGAGGAATTTTTTGAATTTTTTTTTAATTCCCTGAGGCTGAGGTCTTGGGATTAGTCTGCGCTGGCGAAATTTTTTTTCCCTGAAATCCCTGAAATTCCCTGAAACCCCCTAAAAATTGTAGACATAAATAAATAAATAACTTGCAACATCTCAATAGATAAAAATAAAAATTCCTCGGCGAAGAGGGGCTGAGAGTGCAGGCCTCAAAATGAAAATTAAATCGAAAAATGAAGGATGAATTCCGTAGGAATTCCCTGGGGTTGAGTTCCTGGGATTGTTCACCGGGTGATAATCTCTCTTCCCCCCATTTTTTTTTTGTTAACGACGGACATGATCGAGTGACGGTGGCCTGATGCAATAAATAAATACCAATCGCGTCAACAGTCGGGCATTTTCTTCGGTCACATGCTCTTGGACCTTCAATGATCGATCCACTGTCTTGTACATGTCACGTCAACTTGAAACTGGGGACACCAAATCATCGAGTGGAATCTCGAGTGCATAACGAGCGGAAGTTGCACTCGTACAATTTTTTTTTTCAAATTTTACGCGCCATATTTGAATTTCCCGCCGCGAATTCAAACACGGAAAATTTTTTTTCAAACAATTCATAAAATTCTTGACGAATAATTATTCATCAAACATTTATTATTTATATATATGAATTATTTAAATATTTTTTTCGCAATATATCGATATACTTATTAATTATTGTTTTAAAAATATAATAATAATGGATTTTTCAATGAGAAACGCATGGAATTTCCGGGGAATTAATGGAGATGCATAAAAAAATGTTAAAGATGGCGGAAGTCCGCGGATAATTTTTGTTTAACGCGGAAAAAAAAAGAGATTTTAATGATTGAAAAATGTCGAAAGTTTATGGATCACCTTGAGCTCGGCGTGGGTTACGCAGAGTACAAAGGGATTGTCTGTATGATCTCGGGGTGTACCCGGTATATAGAGTAGCCAGACGTCCAAGTACCTAGAGTTAGATGAGCACTAATTGGTGTTAATTGGTGGCTCGCTCGAGAGCTCGGCTTTCCCACGCCCGCGACTTTTACGCTCGCATTCTTCTATTCTATTTTTTTTTTTTCAAATGCATTTTCAGAGCCCCTCGTCATTACTTTCTTTCGTATGCCGGAATTACATGCAAATTGGTGGGAATTTCATTGAATTCCCGGGGAATTATTCTATCGCGTCGCGAATTACGGGGACAAGTCCTTCATTAATTGAAAAATCATTGAATAATCAATCGATAATTGAAAATTCCGTGAATTTTAATAATTCGAAATTGTCATAATTACTTATTATAATTTTTACTAATTAACTCCAATAAATATTTAATAATCAATTTTTTTTTGGTAATTATTGGATTTAATTATCGGCAAATACTTTTGCTGGTGATATCGGTAATAAAAATATTAATATTCTTGATATTTGCATTGAGGTTTCAATACCGGAAGTGGAACGATTTTTTTCTCGTGTCCATCCCCCCCAGGGGGCACAAAAATTTCTCCATTAATTGTCCGATAAAAAAAAATTGCCATCGATCCCTCAATGACTAGCACCGGCTCATTAGTCATTATCATTAACCCCTCTGTTTACGATTTTTTTCGCGTAAGACCGCCCATTGGGAATTACCGAGTCACTTCCGACTGCACATTAATTAATAATCTTCAAGAATAAAAAAAAAATAAACGGGGTAAATAAAAAAATAACAGCGCAAATTCCAATGAAAAAATTAATGCGAAAAAAAAATTGGGGCTAAATGATTTTTGTAATAATTATTGCAAGAGAAATTCAATTTGAAATATTATAATCAATGAATAAATTAGTTAATTACCTCATGAATTAATTAATTACAAAAGACTTAAAGCCGTCAATTGAAAACGTAAATTAACCGATCCGAAAGAGTAAATAAACATCCGATTTTCCCACGCTCGCTGATTAAAAAAAACCCAATCAACCCAAAAGGCAATAAATCATGCAATAAAAAAAACTGTTTATTCAATTTTCCTAACGAACAATTACAAAACTCAATCTCTCGTTCACCTCATACCCCCAAGAAAAAAGCACCGAGTCAATTAAATGCGATTGAATTCGCGGAATAAATTTGAATGTGCGACTCAAAGTGCACTCGGTAAATAAAAAAAAAAAAAACATGGTAAATGAAAGAAAAAAAAAATGAATGCAATTGGTTTGGAGTCGCACGCGCATCGGGTACAACGCATTTTTATTTGTCCATCGATTTTTCCTTCTCTCTGTGTCAGTCAATCCGCGATTTTTCGCGGAATAGATCGAGCGAGAGACGGGGAGTACGTGAGGACGCGTACAAAGTCCTCGTGAAAGACTCAAGTCCGATTGTAAGACAGCTCACAGAGACGTGATGGCACGATCGCACCTTCCACACACCGACAAAATGCTCTTTTACTGGTCAGAATCTTTAGGTAACAATTCTCATTGCCGATTTTTTCAGGGTAAAATCACTCATCGAATTTGTGGGTCAAATGACTGATGATTTTTGGGGGTGAAATCTCTAACCACGAGACAAAATGGAAAATAATTTTAATTATCGATTGCGTGGGTGAAATCACCAATCGATTTTATGGGTCAAGTCAGCAATCGATTTTGTGGATCAAATCACTAATCGATTTTTTTTTTTGGGTCAAATCCCGGATCCCTGAATATTGACCTTCAAAATTTGGTTATTCAAAATTTATCTTGATTCGAATTTGTGGATTTAAAAATAGCGAAATATTATTTAAAATGTCATGTTCGATGCCTACGAATCACGGATTTCTATTCCTTAATCCCCGAGGCCACAAATCATAAGCGACATCATCGCATCTCGAGAACTAGATCTCATGATTTCTCACGCACCGGGGCATGAATAATTTCTTGATGATGAATTTTTTTTTCGACCGTTTTTCAGCGGGAGAATTCCACCGATCGAGATCGGCGAATAGAGAATTGCAAGGACAACGGCGAGTGCCGTATGTTTCAAAAATTATCTCAGAACTGAAGGCAGACAGCAATATTTTCATAATAACCTTTTTTACAGCTCTCATCTTTCTCGACAAAAAACCTAATCACATGAAAATCGGTATCTCCCTTCAGTCCCGAGATATACCGAAAAAACTGACCTCGAAAAAAAAAATGCACTCGCCCTATTTGACCCACGACTCACAAAACCCTCGAGCCCTGAATATTGACCCCCAAAATTAACCCGAAAAATTCCCTATATTTTTATCCATTCAAATACCCAATTCTCTGAAAAATTGAATAATAAAATTGACGATTTACTATTATTTACCTCTTCGAATACCCCCGAGGGTATGATTAATAAAAAGCCGATAACTCTCTCGAAAAATGGTCAATTAATTAAAAAAAATATGGGGAATTTTAAAGATGAGATAAAGGCGGATCTCGTCGTATGGAAAGAAGAGAGAGTGTGGAGCTATCATCCTTGTGGCATTCCACAGTTTGAATTAAATGCCGCGCGCATCCTTCGGCCTCGCCGATCCTCCAATAATCTTTTCCCACGTGTCCCGACCTCATTGAAGGCCCTCACCACCTCCCCCGCCCCCTCGCTCTCCCACGGTACAATTTCATTTTGCAATTGCCCAACATTTATTTTTTTTCCATCAATTTTGATGATCTTTTGACTTTAAACCTCACTTGACCTTTTCATTTGACCCTCATTTTTTTCCCTATTCCAATTTTTTTTTTTGCGGTTTCAAGAGAATAATTTTGATAATCCAATTATTTTTATACGTTCACCCGCCTATTTTTATCTCATTCCAAAAATTATTTGGGGAATTTCAAAATTTAAGAGTGGAAATTATGAAAATTATGTCTTCAGTATTGACCCACAATTAAACCTTCGGATTTGACCCGATCTTCTGAAGATCTCCATAAAAACATTTCGCTCAAAAAAAAAAAATATATCATCCCCAAAAATAATTGAAATTGAAATTGAATTCTGGTATATCTTAAAAATGGAAAATACTTTCAATCCAAGAAGATCGTGAAGATCAGAATTCTTGCTGCGAGATGGAACAACCATTGAATGTGGTATTTCCACTGGATTTCCATCTCTTCTCCGAGGCCACGGCGAAGTCGAGAGCCACTGGTCGAAGAAGAGGTGGTGAACGGCGAAAAGCCGAAAAGGACTTTGGTATGCGGCTCGCAGAGCGAGTTCACACACGCTCCGAACGGTTCGAGAAATAAAATAAAAAGACGAAGAAGAATTGAAGAGTCAAATAAGAATATAAGAGGAAATAAATGAGAGGGACAGAAATCACTGGCTCAAACTGCCACGACATATTCCTTTTACCTCATTTACATACGGCCATTATACACCTGTGGTCATCGGGGATGCACATGCGTTTGTACAGTGCAGTCTGATGACCACTTTTTTCATCCTTTTTTTATTCTCTTTATTTATTCTTTTTCGGCTTTATTTCATTTCCAGTTCTGCCTCTTTCGTCTTGGGTGAGGGTTTATTTAATGCGTCACGTGGATGAGAAAATCCACGTGCGGTTTTGTGGGCGGTGAATTCTTCTTGTGAATTTTTATCCTCAAAAATTCACAAAATTATTTTGAAATTTGAGGTTTTTCATTTATCATTTTCCCCTGAATAGTGTATTATAAATATATGGGATGGGTTTGTTGCGTACAATTCTTTCATTTATGCAAAACATTTTTTCAATCTCATATTTTTCCATAAATCGTGAGATTTTATTATTTTTTTTTTTGATTATCTTTAAAGGATCAATTTTACCCGAGAAATTTATAGCTCCACCGGATATTAATTAATTAATAATTAGAAATCAATAATTATTATTCTTGTTGTCAATAAAGATTCGAATTTGAAAATTCATCAATTTTCCCAAATTTTTCAAATTTACTTCAATTTTCTTAAAAAAAATTGACAAATAAAATTAATTAATTAAAGATTCAGGAGTAAAATCAATTGAAATTTCCACTGATAATTAAATTATTATTATTATTATTATGAAATCGAAAAGGAGAGAAATTTGAAAGAGAATTGCATAAATTGAATTGGCAAAAACGGGTATTGGCGTGCGAATGAATTAATCTTGAACTTGATAATGATTAAAGTAATAAGCATGATAAATAGGTGACAGGTGGTTGTTGGCAATGTGCCACACACGATGCACAGCAAACCGGCCACGTGGGTTTTCATTCGTGACGTCATATCATTGATAGTGGCGCCCACATTGTAAACCCGTAGTTAAGTGTGTTACAGGCCCCTTTGAGATAGCCATTCTTCCGGATTTCTATTTCTACCCAACAATAACGGAAATTCACGTACCAGTGATAATGAACCGAATACCCCGAGGCAATACCAATGAATACACCATATTTTTATTCTTATTATTTTGGTGGGGGAATTTTATCAATTTTATTGACACTCTGTCATGATATCAGCATCTTTTATCCCCAGAAAATTTACGAATTTATTCGAATTTTTTTCAATTTTTACCGATTTTTTTTCCGTTTTCATGGAATTATCGAATTGAGATTCAGATTTATTGATAATTGATAAAAATTTAGTATTTATTTTTAATTTAGTGTTAAGATTGATTATTTAATTAATTGATTGAATTTACGCGGAATAATTGATGAACCGATTTCTAAAAAAAAAAAAAAAATCGAAATTTCCAGTTGAAAAAATCCCCGAAATTTCGGTTTAAAAAAATGGTAAAGATTTGAATGAATTCATGCGTAAAAACGGTATTTTGAGATTGTCATCGAGGGAAAAAAAATTACACGCGAAAATGGTCGACCAACTGTTTCCCCAAAACCTAAAAAACGCCTCCGGCAACTCATTAAATCCCCACAGGATTTCTCTCCCACGAGATAGTGATTATATTCACCAGATGCCAGAGCGAAAAGCGTGCCGAATCACGAGACATCAGTGTAATATGCGAATGGAGGAAAAGAATTTTTCAAATATTTTTTTTTCCCCTTTTTTTCGCCATTTTTTCTCACCTCCAGAGGCGCGAGTCAGTGTCGGTGATTACATAAAGAAAAAAAAAATATATATACATCTATACATATATTTATATATTACATAAATCATATTAATAATATACTAAAGAAATTCATACAATAATATATAATTAATATATATTTTTATGAAAAATAAAAAAAATATATATATATATATATAAAAATATATGTATATATGCACATATGAATTTTTTTTCGGGGTATATTAGGGAATGACAAGTACGTTATGTACTTGAGTCAAGTATATAATGTACTGAGCTTATGTATTTATTTATTTTGTGGCGCACAATGGAGGTGAGAGGATATACGACTTTTGCACAATCGGGGATAGCACTGGGAACAAGAGAACTGAAACGCCTCCAACAATCCTCGCAAGCCCATTGTTCGAATTCTCATTTTGTCTATGTCCCTTTTAAACTCCCTTTCACCTTTCTCTTTTACTCTTTTTTTCGTTTGCCGATGGGTTTTCGAATGGGGTCTTCTCATCACCCACTGCCCCACGCACAAAAATCTGTCTCCCGGAGATCTTCATGGATTTGTATTATATTATTTCCTCAGGAATAGATCTTCTGGAGATCTTCAGAGGAATTCTCGGTTGATTGAATGGTCGAGGGGTTTGGGTATCCAAAAGGATTCGAAAGAAATTTTTTTTTTGAAGATCAGAAGTCAATTTTTTAGATCTGGGATGGAAGTAAAAATGAAGATCGAAGAATATCCAAATTTGACTTATAAAAATTGTCCTCTAAAGATCTTCGAGAAATCTTTGGAAGACAGAATTTTTTGAAAATTTGCAGAACCCAATTTTTGAGAAGATCTACAATATAAATAAAATTGAAGATCAAAATAGATAAAAATGTGAGTCTAGGTCAAAGATCCAAATTCAACCCCCAAAAACGGATCCTCTGAAGATCTTCCCGAAAATCTGTTCGTCGCAGAATTTTTTTGAGATTCTCCTGAAGATTTCTGGAAGATCTTCAGGGGCAAAAAATTATTCAACGCGGAAGGGCAAAGAACTTCATATAACGGCGTTAATGGGGCACACATTGGTCCGTTTGAAGTGGCTCTTCACCGCTATTTGTATATTTCATAATTCAGAAGAGGCTTTTATCCCGTCGACGAGAGGAGGAAAAAAAAAAATAATAGTCCCTGAAGCCTCGAATCTTCTTTCTTCCTCTCATCACGAGTACCTGACGTAAACAACGAACCCTTAAATTGCTCCTTGAATACCTCGAATTCCCTCTACCACCGGATCATTTAGCAGCTCCGGAGCTAATTCAATTACTGGTAACCGTGCACTCCTTTATTCTACACCGAGTAATGCCCATGGTACGAGCCAACAACTGGATTTTCTCATTTTATTATTTGTTTATTCCTGGGGGAGAGATAGAACATCCGGATGTCGTATCACCGAGAGGAATCGCGGAATTTCCGGGTTTGTCGGAATTTCAATGAGTGAATTATTGCATTCGTCAAAAAATTCTTCAACGAAAGTGAGAAATCTCGGAAACGAGGGGATTGTCGAGAAAATGACAGATAACTTTTTCGCGTTAAATTAAATTTCCTACAGAAAATGTTCAGTAACACTTCCCCGAAAATTAATTCCCTTTCGAGATAATCCCGTTTTTAATTACATTAATGAAGCTGCGATACCAAAGAGCCATGAATCATGTGTAATAATTTGTTAATTATCCGAAAAACGCGGAAAATTGGGGGAAAATGATAAGGGGCTTTTTCCCGGAGAATTAAATTTTCTACAAAAAATGTCCAATAAATTTTTCCACGAGGTTGATTGGTATTGAGATAATGATTATTGAAACTCACCGTCCACCTGAATGTGAAGTGAAGCTGAAGTGTAACAGGCTCGGTAAGAGTAAATGTATTCTGTCCAAGCGCATGACTAGATACATTGCCAAAGGAGCATGAGCCAATGGCAGTTACATTTGACTGATATTCCTTCAAACACAGCCAGAATGCAGTTGTGCAGGGTTGAGTGCAAGGTGGAAATCCACTTCCACCACCGGAATCACTTCCTCCACCGCAACACCTTCCATCAACCAGAGTACCTCTGTTGTTCGTCAACGAGAGTATCTGCACCTCGAAATATCCGCTACCTGTTGTCGCCTGTAATCCATTAAAATTACGATTAATTAATAAATTAAAATTTGAGATAAAAATCATTTACTAGAACTTCTTGTTGGTACATGAAAAAAAATTTCTTTTTCCATGGAAATGCGTTTTTAATTTTTTTTTTTATGTTTTTAATAAAGTATTAAACCCTCGGGATAATTCGAAATGATAATCCCGATATCCGGATATATTTTCTCGAGACGTTGGTGGTGGTCTCGTGACAGTCCCACGTTTTCTAATTACCGGTTGAAAATAACGTTCAACCGGTTAAACAATTACGGAGAAAAATAATGGAAAAAATATTCTTGATTAGCGAGTCATAATAACCTGTGGTTTTACTTCTAATGACGATGACAATAAGACGATATATTTATTCCCGAGAGAGAGAGAGAGAGAGAGAGCGAGATTATAAAATTTCCTCATGTTTTCCGTGTTATTATTTATACCCGAAGATTTATTAAAAAATCAACTCTCGATTTTATTTGAATGACAAATTTGACTTATTGCATTGATTGTTTAAAAATTTATAATTTATTATATAATCTTCCAATTGAAATAAAAAAAGAGAAAAATCAAAATTGAATAATTGAAAAGTTTAAAATTTCAGAAATTAAAACCTCCCAGTCTCAATTACCCGTTAATCCCCATCCTAAAATGTCACTGATGGTTAAACAACCCGTACATACCCTTATATAACCACGAGTCCCAGCGGGATTAAAAAAAAAATGGGTAAAAATAGTTGAGAAAAGAGAAGGAATACGTGGCAAATGTGCAAGTGTACAGAGCGTGGAAAGCAAAGGCCAGCAGACGATCCTTTCTGCGCTTTCTACCTTCGATCTTAAACCTAATGCTGCAATTATGTAGGCTATACGTTCATGCATATTATAACCGAAAAAAAAAAGAAAACGCGTGAGAGAGATGTGAATAGAATCGAATGGAAAAGTTAACTCGGGTATAAAACCCGATATCTCGAGAGAGTTAAACACTACTGGGGAATATGTACCTATGTACCCACATTATTACTCACCCATTAATATGTACATAACGGGAAATGTACACGTGCGAGGATAATCGGAACCTCTCGAAATTTCCTGCCTCAAAATTACCGCATTTTTTTTTTATTTGTATAGAAAGTACTTTCCTCGCACGCCAGGTCTCAATTGATATCTCAATACTCTTGACAATTTATTCATTGTTATTAATTTGATATTTAATCAGAAATGAAAATCCAGTTGATCCGGATTTTTCAATTTCGAAAATTTTTATCATTGCAATGAGAAATTCAAAAGTTAATGAAAAATTCAAAGAAAAATTAAAATTATGAATGAAATAAAAATAAATGAAATTAATATTTCATTATTAATATATATTATTGATATTTCAATAAATTTTTAGAATAATTGAATGAGTGAAATTTTTTTTAAAGAATTGGCCGAATGATATATTTTTTTTTTAGAGAAAAAATTCGATTCTTCCCATTGAGTCTCTCCTTTGTCAAGTGTTGTTTGAATTCATCTCTTTATTCCCGCCGTTTGTAAATTCACTCCATGCACCGAATCCATGAATCCGAAATACTCGTTACCAACACCAATTGCCCCCAAAAATCATTGATTCGTGACACGTGACGCGACTCCATGAATTCCCAAATATTTTCCATTACCGTTCATTCCATTTATTTTAAATAATTGTGTTGATTCTTTATGTATTCCGAGAGTTATCCCGATTGATTTGTTTACCGGCCATTGCCCACTCGTGTCTCCTCTTATTATAATCTCAGACACACGTACCGGCATAGACAAGAAATCACTTGACGATTTCATTTACATATTCAAGTAGAACAATATTTTTTTTCCCATCAGCCAGTGCCTCAATATTTACAACATCAAATTGATGAATAACTGATCAATAATTACCCGGAGTTAATTCAAAAAAAAAAGTGTCTGAAAATCACTCTTCAAAATTAAAAGATGAATTTTTATTTTGAGAATTATTTTGATTTGAATTTTAATTTTGATTTTGGTTTTGATTTAAATTTTCATTTTATTTTCATTTTGATTTGAATGAAAATTGAATTCAATAAGAAAATAAACGAGAAATATTGAGTTCTCATCGCAGAAAAAGAACGAAGAGAATGAAAAATTTCCGGTAGAATAGCTGGACTCATTCCAGTAATCAAAATTTCAATCGCCCCGGTAAATTATTCACATTAACATCGCCAACTTGTCCATAAATAAAAGTTCGTATGGCTGGCTGCACTGCGGCAATGCGGAAAGAAAATTTTCTTCTCTTCCATTGTGTTTGACCCTCACCAACTGAAGATCCACACTAGACCCACTCACACGAACAGAAAATTCATGGTTTCACGTGCCACTTGTCGGTTTAAAAAATGAGAGAGAGAGAGAGAGAGAGAGAGAAAAAAAAATTGCCTCGACTCGGCACTAAAGCCCGGTAACGGCGGAATAACTGGCCCGATATTCCCGGGTTCCTGGATAAATCGGCGCTTAAAGCTCATCACCGGGTTGCGGCTCGCGGGCCGGAAATCAATCGTCAAAGTGGCCGGAACGAATCGTCGGGAGAGGCATCCGTGAGAAAATCAACTTGTGGACAGAGGAATCCTCAGGTTATCATTTCCAGGTGAGGATTTTTCGCCCATTCACCCAAAAATTTGACCCATTATTTTTGAAGATTTTTGAGAAATCAAAAAATGAAGATCAAATCGAAGCTCAAAGAAGGTCTTCCAGAAATCTTCACAAAAATTTCCAAAAAATTATTTAATCCATCATTTTGACCCACCAACATTCCCCGAAAGACACCTCTCCCAAAAATATTAAAAATCCCATTTTTTGAAGAACAAAATTCAAAATGAAAATCAGAAATTCAAATAATATAAAAAAAAAATTCAATTCAATTCCGATTAAATTTCAGATTCACTCTCAATTGAATAAGTCCTCGAAATCCGAGAAGCACTCGAAAACCTTGAAAAAGGAATCAAAAATAGAACGTTCCACTCAAAACGAATTGTTGTTAACAAAAAATGGCGCAAACACTGACGCAAATTCCCTCACGAATGGAAAAGTCAGTTAACCCGCGTGAAAGTCGAATACCACCGCCTAATTGATGTTTACAAGAAACAACAGCAAGTTCGTTGTCTTCACGCGATTCAAAACAGCAAAAAAAAAGAAGCAAAATGGTGAAAAAAAAAGGGGGAGAAATGTTTATTGTCGACTACACGCGATTCAACACGAAACACTCCAACGATATTCGCGTGATGCCCAGCTGGCCTACAATGAGATACCGCTGGATATCGAATTATAATAATCGATTTGAGATTAGCTGGAACTTTTTTTTTCACCATTCGGAATTTATCCTATTACCGGGATTCATTCAGATGCATCTCACGCGAGATTTCACCGGTTCCATCGAAATTCATTCACAAAAAATTCGATAATTCATCCAGCGTACATCAGATTATATCAAAAAAGATTGCATACTACGAAAAATTATCTCTTCTCAATAAATATTTAAAAATATTGGCGATAAATGTGCGGGAATTTTCGTTATATTTATTCAAGAAGTGAATTATTTATCATTTCTGAGTTTTGAAGAATTTCGAAAATTTAAAATTTCATTTACATTTAATGATAATTTTTATAAATATTCAATTGTCCTCTGGGAATCAATAGAAAACCGAAAAATTCAGCAGAATATATTTTTCAATAAAAAAATTTTAAAAAATCAGAATAATTTTGAAAAGTCACTGAATTTCCAGTGAAATCCTCTCGACAAACGGATGATTTTCAAAAATTCCACTTCCCCCCCAAAATTCCCAAAAAATCAAACTCTAAACCTATTCCAAACTAGAACAAAATGAAAATTTAAACAAAATAAAATTTTCACATCTTCATTTCCATTCAACTCCAAACAAAAATTCTCAACTTGAATTTATCTCATCATTTATTTATAATTGCAGGAGAAAAATTCCGCAATAAATTTTATCCCGCGCATAAAATTCAAGGATTTGAGTACAGACTGATGAATTGATGATTAAAAAAATGGCGGACAGCCCCCCCCTGGCAGACTAGGACTGAAAAATATTCTAATCCAAAAAGAGAAAAAAAAAATGGTAAATATGATTGGATTTTTTGGTTTATCACTGAACTGCAATAAATTTGCAAGAGCCTGGGCTTGAGCTGGGGCATAAAATCCTGGAGATGAGGAACAAGAGTCCTGGGATGGAGGAGGTGAAGAGGGAGGGGAGGGTTTGGACGCTCGTAAGTTTAATCTTCTCTCCTCTGTTTCCAGAGTCACAGGTAGTAATTACCAGTGGCCGCTACCTGCCAGAGTGAAATAGGCCAGAAAGGCCGCCATTTAATTTTATACTGTAGGAAATTGTGGAATGCTCGGGCATCTTTCCTCCAATCCCCAGACGATGGGCTAAATTGGGAGACAAGTTTGAATTTGTTGCTAGTTTTATAACTCTGGAGAACATCGACTTCATCAAAATTTATTTTCTCTCTCTCGGATAATAAATACAACTCCATCCCCAAATTGGATATTTATTCATTGTTTAAATTAGTTAGAATTTGACGGAAATTATTCATTATTGATGGGAAAATCGGAATTTTAGGTGACGATTTGTTTGAAATTAATAAATAAATTGATTTTTGTGGAAATTAAAATTTCGAAATGAGAAATCCATTGAATAATGGAGATAAAAATAAACAATTGAAAAAATATTAATAAAGAACAGAAAAATATCTGGAATATATTTTGAATATATTTCAGAATCCAAAAATCCTAAAATCCAAAAATCCAAATTCAATTCGAACGCAAGATTTCCAAAACAATCGCAAAAATGGCGTCGAACTTTCGTTTTTTTTTTTTTTATAAAATTCCCCGAAGAAAATATAAACAAGAGCGTATCTTTAAACCCTTTCGCCTTCAATTCCAAAACTGGAAGCCTATACTTAAAATTATTTGCTGGACCATCGAGA